ACGTGTGTGTCTGCCATCCCAGTTTCAGTTTACTGCAGGTGAGAACTTTGGCATAGGAAATGCCTTCAGGCTGTAGAAAAGGCTTTTTAACCACAAAATTGGGAAGAAGTTTCCTGTAAAATAGTGCAAACCTTGCCTTTAGAGAAGAACTATTGCTAGCTCCTGGAGCCATGGTGCTCAGATGTCTCACTTGACCGAGTGTGGGGCTCTTTAGGTAGGCACTTTATATATCAAAAATATCTTTCCCTTAAGACAGTGCAAGTTTTTTTATTGTCTCATGTTTACAGAATGATACAAATCCCGTGTCCCCCCAGTCCAGAATAATTAGTCTGAATGTTAATGAATTACTTGCCTTTTTAAAAAATAGGCAAACTAAACAAAACAAATTAAAGTAGAATTATTTTTTTTAGATTTCAGCTCAGTCTTAGTTTCTTATTCACACAAGCCTTCCTGTTTTACAAATGTGTTATCAGTTATTTAACTGCACACCCTTGGTACTGATTTTTGCCGTTCCGTTACATAGGATAACTGTATTAAAATTTACAGTAAGCCATCCTGACATTGTTAACTTCCGTGCCATGTCTGGTCAGAAGTTTGGATCGTACATCAGGAAAGAAATAGCTCCTTGCTTGCCCTGACATTTTTCCTGGACACCTGCTACTGGCCATTGTCAGAGGCAGGATGCTGGTATCTGAGCCAGTGTATATATTCTTACTGGTCAGTTTAAGAAGAGGTATGCTTGACAACTAGTGTAGGTAACAGAATAGCGGAGCTTTGGTGCAAGAAAAAGGGAGTAGCAAGGAAAAACAGTTCGCTGCTTTCAGGCTCATCTGTATCTGGTCATATCACTCCTTCAGTTCATGTCTACTGACAATATTAAAGTGGGATAAAACCAGACCTGTTTATCATGATCCGGGTGGAGAAATGTCATGTTTCCCCTTCTTCTTTCTTTGTTGGTTCCTAGAACGTAGGCAAGATTTTTTTTTCTTGCAGTGCATTAATATTTCACCTCTGTTCATTCTGTGCTGAGGACTGACACAACATGTGGCCTCTTAACATCTGCCTCGTGGCGCTTCCCTCTTGAGAAGATACGTGTGACCTTTGCAGACATTGTTCTGCAGTGTGAAATTTTATTATTTCATTCTTTTCAGTGGAATACACATGCAGATTATGGTGCAGGCTAAGTCTTGATTTGCACTGCTAAAAATAAAATAAAAAAAAATATCCATGACTATTTTAGATGCATGCGACGTGCCAAAATGAGAAACTATACCATAAGCTCTCTGTCTGTAGTTACATATGCTCTTTCTTGGAGCGAGGGAGGAATTACTGAGTAAGAGGGTCAGTGTGTCACCAAGCCTTCAAAGCTCCTGATTTCAGGAAGAGGTTCACTGCAGGCAGATGTCGCTCCTTGGACCTGGGCTCTGGTACGTGTTCCCCTAAACCTGAGGACTGGTATCTGTGCACCGTTTAGCACCGGCTTTTTGCCCTTGTGTTGTACCTTCCCTTCTCCTAGTTTGTGTGTTGTAGTACAGTCAAAAGTGTAGGCTCCTTATTAATTAGCAGCTGCTGAGCATTAAAAGGTAATTTAAAACCCACTGGATTGCAATGTGAAGAGTGTTCCTTTCATTACATTGTTCAGTATTTTAAATTTATAATTTACATATATTATTGTTTAATTTCACCTAATGTTTTGTAACAGGGTACTGAATGGAAGATTTACAGGATTTATAAGAGTACAAATGGAAGGTTTATTAGATGGACATTTTTAAGGTTAAGCTTATGAATAGGTATACATAACTGAAACTAAATGTGTTTATGTCCATCTGGGCTTGTGAAATACTATTGTGACTATTGATCAAAATGTTTAAAAATATTTATTTTTTTCTTCTTTTTTTTCCTTAGATAATGGATCCTAGTATTTTCTATACTTGCTTTTTTATGTGTGTGTATGATTTTTGTTTTTTGCTTTTCTTTGCAATTTTTTGTGTTCTCAGAATGTAGCAAATAATGTGGAAATCCTGTAATAATCCTGAACCTCTTGTCTCAATGGACAAGAGAAAAAAAACATTGAAAAAGGCTTCTTTTTCAAAAGGTTTGAGGAAGGTGGGGGCCAAAATACTCAGAGGAGACACCCTACCCTCCTGAAAAAATGACATATCTAATTCCTGTAATATGGATCATCTCATAAATGTTACTATTTATGTTGCTTTTGTCTTAGACAGTTCATGGATGAATAGAATAATTCAGCTTGGAAGAGACCTCCAGAGGTCAACTAGTGTAGCCTCCTGCTCCAAGCAGGGCTGAAACTGAATTCAGAGCAGCTAGTAGAGAGACAGTACATCCAGTATACGAGTTGTTCCACCAGTATCCAAGTATGGAAATAGGTATAATAATTCATGCTCAGCAGATTCCTATCATGCTCTTCTTCATCCTAGTTATGACAGAGGAGAACATAGTGATCAGCCTAGTTGCCTTGTTTATAATAGCTGAGGGTAGATGGAGTTAATTCTATATTTGTACACAGTGAAATTTGAAGTAACTGAGAAGAAAAAAGTGTAAATAAGAGAAAAACTGGATGTAATTATTGAAAATGGACAAAAGTAAGTGCTGCTGAGGTGCCAGGTTTGATTCTCCTTTCATACTTCTCTTCAATAATCAGTCAGGTCAGTTTGTGTCTGTCAGAGGCCATTATTCTTGTTTTCCAGTTTTGCCAGCTCAGATCTCTTCTGACAGCTTAGAAACCTAGTCAGGTCTGTCCTGGTGGCTGAGTGGAGATACGACTGTGGATAGCCTTATGTATCTGATGATTTTGGTTCACCTTCCAGAAAAATGAATCAGTAGGTATGGCAGCCTCCTGTTTTTATGTCCTTCCCAAGTCCCTCATTTATCTGTTGTGTTCAGTTATTTCCTCTTGCCTTAAAGCTCTATGCTAGGATCAAGACTACTTCTTCATATTTAACAGCTGTCTAAGGAAAGCATGATCTGATTTGAGTACAGCAATAGAATTGAGATTGAATAGTTCACAAAGGGCTTCCTTAACTTCCTCTTGGTGGTAGATATTTTAATAAAGTGAATTGATCGTTTTAGTTGGGCTATGACTGAGGTTTTTAACAGCGTGTCTGACATTGCATTGGTGACAATGTGTTGTGGAGGTACTTGAGCTAGATCTCAATTTGTTAATGATTTGGATATAGGTTGCAGAGTGGAACTGGTGTAGTCTTCAATATCTGCCTGAGAAGCTGGATGAATATTTCATCAGTCATCCAGAATAAATGAAATTATGACATTAAATTTCAGGATGTGATTTATTTTCTTGTCCTGATCCTTTCCAATAAATATCAGAAAGCGATTAGTTGTGTTTAATAATGAATTATGAACACCATAACACCATAAACTTTCCAAATAAGAGAGATACATAAAAGAAAATTTGACTTCTGAAAAGCAAAGCAGGCAAAGGTCACACTGTAATTTCAAGGGAGTGAGGTCAGGGTGTAATTGTTACTCCCACAAGCTGCTGTTTTCTAACTGTCAATATTTTCTGTTTGGATTTCAAGAAAATGTGCAAATTTTAGCTGAATTGCATGTGAAAACTTTCAAGAAAAAAAAATGTTGTTTTCAATGGGTTTACTAAAACCAGATAATTTTATGCTGTGAAGTCCAGAGCATCTTCTTCACAATTGAGACAGTATTGCTGGATACCACCTTAAATATTAAACTAGCTTTCAGTTAAGGAGAAATAAACATAAGATCATATTTTCTGAAAATATATGGTTTCAGAAAAGCAGTCTTTGGTTCAAGGGCCAGGGCAGCCAATATACCATGAATCCAAGACTGATCATAAAAATTTTTGCATGCCCTTATAAATTTGTATTAATTGATTAATATATTCTGTTCCATTTAGTTAAATGGAATGGTCAGCAGGCATTTTGAAATGTATCAAGTTAGTTGATGGGTATTTTTGTACCAGAATGCATTACTGTGATAGCTTTTATTCTATTGTAACCCTTGTTTCTACTTCACATGAACTACCTTTCAGTACTTTGCAACATACTTAGGTTGTAAAAAAAGGTCTTGGAGTAAGAGCACATGATTGGCCAATGCTGTAAAGGAAAAAGTTCAAATATATTCTTGTTTTCTAGAGCAATGCTGAAATTCACTATCAGCTCAAATTCTGTTAGGATTCTTTTATATTTTGAGCTTATAATATATTTGAGTGTTTAACCTTCTAGAGTGTAGTCTTCACTAGTGGGGTTTTATGTACGATCAGACTAGTTGAGAGGAAGATGTATACAGAGAAGCCTTTAATGGGAGCTAACTGCTTCTGTGGGCCCAATTAAGACTATCCAACTGTGAAACAGAGTCCCCTGAGAAACGGTGTGGTCTGCTTGCCTGGATTTTCTGAGGTGGGGGAAGGAGGCCATGAATAAGAGAATATCCAGTGCAACTGTGAAGAAAAAAGTATTTTAATAGTTTTCTTAGAGAAACAAATCAAACCAAACCAAACCAAAACAAAAAAACCCCACAAATTCCCCCCGAAACACAAGTGAAAAACCCAACAAACCCAACCCAAAACAAAACAAAAAGAGCAGCCCTAAAACTTTTGGTATGCAGTATTAACAAAGGTTGAGGTCAGCTTTACGTATGCACTGCATTTGTAGACTTGATACTGTAGTAGCTGTGCCTGAGATCTGGATGCGTTGTTGGTCCAAAATCAATCTTGTTGCTCCTCAGAAGGCAATGAGAGATAATAAGTACTATCCACCTGATTGCCTTCCTGTTCTGAGACAGCTGGTGACGCTTGTCTTCCTGATAACCAGGAGTTTCAGATCTAAGGCAGGGATAAAGAAAAGCTGGGAGCTTGCTGAATCTAAATTTGACAGTCGATGGCTGTGTAGAGGGTCAGGAGGGATAGAATCTGTGACACGTATAAGAAAGGAACAAAATTTATCTCCTCTGGTTGCAATGATTAGATGTCTCTTTGTCTGGCTTTCTTACAGTGGATGATTGATTGTATCCGCCAGCTGGCTAATATCATAATTAACAAAGTTGCTACCATGTCTGAGAAGTTTAATCGAAAAAATTGCCGGCAGTATGATGCCATTGTCACAGAGATCAGAAGCGCTGCAGTGTTGACTTTTGTACTGGTGGAGCCGCAGGACTATGTAGATGTGCTGAAAAGTCTTTCACTAGGATAACTAAAGGTATGTTTCTTTCCCTATACATTTCTTCACTGTTAGTTCTCTTGAAAAATGAAATACATGGTCCTTTGATGTTACCTTTCATTTCAGAGTGCCACGTGAAGCTATTCTGTCGTATTTTAAAGCAGTTGCAGTGGCAATCTAGAATATGCTTTATCAATGCGTCAAAAGGTGAATAATCAAAACTGTAGTTCAGTGCTACTCACCCTTTCTAAGTGGTCTTCGGTGTCTTGCCAGATGCTTTTTGCAAAAAATATGTATGTAGTTGTTTTCAGAGCTAATTTCTCAGTTGGAAGGACTACAAATGCTGTTGACAGTCTATGTTCTAGGAACTTGTAGTTGTTTGGGTTTATGTTTTGCAATATTTATTTTCATTCATTACTTCAAGTTAGAATGTAATTTAAAAGGTGTAAAAAACCCCCAACAACAGGGAAAAACCCGTATTCTTGTGTCCATAATTCAGTGTTAGAATGTCTTAGTAAAATGCTCTCTTTTGTGTATGTGTATTTGTCTGTGTGTTTGTGTGTGTAAAAGGAGAGCAGCATCGGTGCTTATAGCTCGAGATTCACTTCTCAGCATCTTTGTAAAATATTGGCTTAGAATCTCATTCCTTTTTTATGTTTACTTAGTTTCCCAAGTTAAAAATTATTCCACTGAGCTCTTTTTCTGTGCAATTGTATTTTTACATGTGTGTGTGCGCTCTGTGTGGTAGTTCAGTTATGCTCTGGAGTGTGTTGAAAATGCCAGCCTGACATATTGCTAATGAGTGTGCATATTGACAGTGACGAGGGCGTGTGTCTGTCTGTGTGCCATATATTAAAACAAAAAGAGGAGAGAGAGACGGAGACAGAGAGACACAGAGAGACACAGAAGGAAATATTGGGATGGGAAAGAACAGTTTATTTACATTACGGTATGTCAAAATGTTATTATGGCTAAAAAATCCATTTTAAATAGATGTGAGATTTCTTCCTCACAGGAGCTGATATGGCCATGGTAGGAGGATAAGGGAAACCCATTTATTTTGGTAGTATTAGTATTTTTCAGCCCAAGTAATTTTGACTTTTTGGTACCAGTTTCTAAAATTTGGGAAATGAATTGTTTGCATTGTATTTCAGTACCGTAATGAGCTCTTCCTGAGTTTTCTGTTGCTTTTCTCTGTATCTTTACAGGTAAACTAGTTCTGAGCATTCAGATAGAATTGTTGCAGTAGAATTTTGAAGGAATGTATTGTTGTATAGCTGAAATAGCTGATGTATTCCTAAAACCAACTTTTTGCTGAGATGTGCTCATTTCTATTTGATAATTTTCTGTTTCAAGTGAAATAATTTTCAAGTTTTGAGATGATATTATTGCAATGGTAGTTTAAAACTAATCCTGACTTGAATTTTTTCAGAGAGATTTTTCAATTCTCAGTCAATTTAATAGCAGATAAATTGTTCTTAATTATTAGACCAAACTAAGAAGACCAACTATATATAATTTTTTAAAAATTTCTTTTTTTGCTAATGGGCTATTCCCCGAAAGAGTCTTCTGTTTTGTGAGGAAATACTTCTTTGCAGGCCAGAAATATATTCCTATCATCATTATTATTCCTACTCTTGGTAATGGATTCTAGGTTTTAACTTATCCCTGTAAATCTACTGCTTTTCAAAGATTTGCTAAGCAAAATTAAAAATCTATATTTTGTTTTGAATAGAAAATGCTGTGAACAGTGGCAAAATAGATTAACATTATGATTGCAGACAATAGGGAAGATTAAGTTACTAAAACAGTATATTGTTGTTCTAAACTAAACCCTGTAATATTTTGTGTAATTGAGACTTCGTGCATTGTTAGAACTCGGCTGGAGTATCAAACGGTTGTGAGGATTAGAGCAGACAACTAAAGCAATGTCACAGTAGATGTGGCTGGTTTTTAACAGGATTATCTTCTGAGATGTGTAGAAATGAGCTCTTGTAATAGTTTCATAGGAATTAATAATTTTAGTAAAATGTTAATGGCAAATGTGCTAATGTAAAGAATTAGAGGATTAGTGATGCATTCTTTTGCATGGAAATAAGAATATAATAAATGTCCTGCAGGTGACTGAAGCTACTGCAATTTTATTGGAGATTAAAGTTTGATTGACCTTTGCTGAGGTGATTAACCCTTCTGAAATTAAAAGCCAGCAGTAAATTATTCTGTCCAATTTAAATGCAAACACGAATGACACAGCATACTGTTCTAAGTGTAAGAGAAAAAAACGTTTTAATTTTCCTTTTGCACTTAGTGAGATGTGATTGCAGACAGCGCACTGGGCTGTGGTAGAACTGACCAGTGGCACCTTGCCTTTGCTCTGCTCATTCCCGCCGGAGCAGCTCTGCCACGGGGACGCTGAACTTGGGAGCAGCTGCCTGCAATGGACCTTCACATGCAGGAATGTCGGCAGGAGCGTGTGGAAGCACATCAGCCAGGTAAGCAGTACAAATCACGGTGGATATGCTTTATCTGCTTGTGTAGACCTTGAGCCAGCCGATGCATGCACAGGCAGGCAGCGTAACACAGGTGAGGGTCCCTGCCTGGCCTCACAAGGCAGCTTCTCGAAGCTGGGCTGCTTGGATGCGAACCATTGCAGAATTAGAAATAAAGCTACATGTATGTTGTTTGAGGTTTTTTTTCCTTTTCCCTAATCCTTGAAACTCAGATGAATGAGCTTCCAAAACTGCACTTTTTGACTGACAGAGCACTTCCACGAGTTCAGGCTGAGTGCGTGTGAATTGCTGTGCTGCTTCAGGGTTGTGATTCCCATCCTTCCAACAAACATGAACAAGGGGTTTTTTTTAGATTGGAGCTAGTACATCGTGCTGGATGTGTAGGATCAGGACACTATCTTAGCAGCTGTCTAAAGCCTGTGGGATTACTTGCATGTGTAAAGTCACGCAGATGATCATCGGAGTCACAGTGGCTGCACTACTGAGCAGCATTTGAACACCTAGAAACCAAATTTCAAATTGATTTTGTAATTCTGAGTCACATTACAGTTGGTATGTTTGTGTGTGAACCTTATTACTTCATATTAAATTGGAAAGACCACAGCAATACGCTTGTTGCATTTTTTATAAGTCTTTCATTAGAAGTTGAACACTCAAAATTCTTCCCAGAGTATCTGCCTTGCTCTTTTTTTTTTTACCAGACAAACTAATGTTGGGGCAGTGATTTGTTTTATAATGAATTACTCTTAATTTTCCCAGTGTAAGAGATCAGTGTGTTGCTACAAAACAGCGTACTGTCTAAAAGTAGTTCTGGAGGACTATAACGACTCAGAGCATTTAAATTTACGCTGACTACAACCATTATAAATGGATCCAGTTCGCATATTTTTGATGCTTTTTTAAAGAAATTACGTATTTGTTAAGAGCACTGAAATAGTGGTAAATTAGAAACAGTTTAGTTACCTGAGGTTGGTTTAGTTTGCATAAACAAGCCCTTGAAGCATTACTGTCTCCTTCCTCCACCTGCTGGTCCAGGGGAGGGAGACAAGTGGGTCGGGTCTGCACCCAGGACTCTTCACGGTCCTTGGCACTTTACTGGATCTACCATGGATTTTTTCTTTTTACTTTTTTCTTCTTTCTTTTTCCTTCCTCTCCCTGAGTCTACCTCTTCCTGCCCACCTGAGAAGAGATAAAATGGCTCTTTGAAGGTTTTTCCTTGCATGCCAGCAGCAGTAGTACTGGGAATTGGGCTGAAGGGCAGAAGGGCTACTGCAACTGTTTGGTCTCGAGTGGACTTTCTGCCCAGGAAAATCTCCTATTCTTTCATGCAGCTGCAAGGCATTAAAATGATAATGAATGTGCTGTCTGCATTCCATATTCAGTTTTTCTCCTCACTTTTCATCATGGAAGATTTCGTATTGCATCTGTCAAGGTAGGGAAGTCCAAGGAATTGCAGTTCAGAAATTAAGGACCCTGAGATACCAGCTCACTTCTGTCTCGTCTTTTCATTTACACTTTAAACAGCCTTCAGAGAGATGGGTTGCTGCTTCTGGGACCCAGTGAAGAAAGTGAGGAATAGATAAAAGCTAAACTTGTGGTGGAGTGACCTAAATGGAACAGCTGGCAAAAGTATAGAGGGGATACTCCAGGGTACTGAATTATACCTTCAGGCTTGGATTAGTGGGATGTTTAACAAAGAGATCCATTTGCCAAAAGGATCTCTGCCTGATTTTTAATTATGGAACTAACGCTTCCTTCAACATTTGTAAATTATTGAGCTTTTTTTTCCTTATGTAAGGTGTAGAGTACTAATTGTTGGCTTTTGGCTCTTGCTTTATCTTTTCTCAAACTAAACATTTTTGCATGTCCTTGAATTAACCCTATGAATACCAGGCACATGAAATATTTCAACAGTTTTTATGTTATGAATAATGAGTTGCATGCTCTATGGAGAAAATAAATATGAACTTGAAATATTTAATTATTTAAATATTTATTGTTTTTCTTATAATTCTGAAATGCTTTTGAGTGCTTGGAGTAGGATGAAACTTTTCTTTAAATTGAGGAAAACAATATTTATAGGTTCTTTGTAGTCATACATATTCATGTTACTTTAGTTAGCGATAGTAGGTATATAGCATCCAATATTTTTTTTTTTTTAGTATCAAGGTACCTCCATCCTTTTACATATTTTACCAACCAACTTTTGTATATAGCATTTTTTTTTTGAGATAGCCATTATACCCTAGTCTGTTATCAACTAATACTACCATATATTTATTAAACCTCAACATCAAAAATCCCTTTCAAATTGTGTGAAATAATGATCCTCTAGCATGACATAAAATTTTCAAATGGAAGATGCATCAGGAAAATCCATGATGAAGTATGATGTATCCTATATACATATATGGGTTCAGTGAAGAGATGCTCCTAACTGTGTCTGCTTATATTTTCCAATGTGGTCAGGCAGAACAGACAGGGCAGCATAGTAAAATATTTCTGGAAAGTCTGTTGGAATACTTACTATATCTGACTACTTCAGGCTAAAAAAGTACTAGCAATGTGGGAGGTGGAGGAGGGGGGAGGCTAGGATGTTGTCACTATACTCCCTTCCTACGGACTAAAACATTTAAAATAAACACTGTTAGTCATTACACCTTCTGTTTTGCTCTTTTGAAAAGCATTTATCAAGCAGGGCAAGTTCTTTCAGAGGCAGGTCACATAAGACTGTTTTGATGATCTTCACTGTATGTCAATGTTAATAAGTCACATGAGAGATTGGACAGCTGCTTAGCGTGTGATATACATATAGGTGAGTGTTTCTCTTGCAAGGGAAGAATGGGAAAAAGGTGAAGTTATAATGTTGTTTCCCTTCACCAGTGCCCCTAGTGACAAGGGCATAGGGAACTGCACGTGTTTTTAAGTTGGTCTGATAATTGTTTAGAAATTATCTTGTTCAACATTCTACCATTAGCGGTAGTCATTGAGAGTATTTGAATAGGAAATACTTTAAAATTTTATTCCTTCAACAGCTTTATTTTCCTTTTGAACTCTTTTGTCAATATTCTTTCAATATGCTACTCTACCAATAACTAAATGAAAATTGGAGGTTTAAGACCATTTTAACTGCAGCATATGTTAAGCATTTTTATAATGGAACAAAACAGTTTTCTGTATAGAGAAAACTTTCTGAACAGTGATATATGCACTCTATTATGTATGATAGCAAAACACACTGCAATTTCAAGAGCTATATAGGGTTAGATCTTAAAGTTGTAAAGGATTTTTTCTTTACAATGATGTTTTTAGCAAAACCTACATATTCCATATTGCAAATCTGCACATAATGAAAATTTATTATATATTCCTCAGGCAAAGTTAGCCTCAAATCAGGAAGAAGATACAAAATAGTAGATTGATTTTAGACTTCTGTTAAAAATCAATAATTGCCTAGGTATTTCTTTTTACCCTGGAAAATTAGCTTCAAGTTGATAATTGCATTTTTTGTCCATCAGACTTGTGTAGTTTTCTGAAAGTGTGCATAACAGAGAATTGAATTTGAATAATTTGAATAGCTGCATGTGAAAACTCTTGGAGCATAATGTTACAATGAACATTCCTTATTTCCGTTTCAATAGAAATGAAAATTCTCTTATGAATATACAATTTCTTATACTGCTTAAATGTTGGGGTTGGGTTATTTTAGCAGTGTTTGGAGGGTTTCAAATTTTGATTTGGGTGAGGGAAAGAGAAGGAAAGAGTATGAAACTCTGTAGGTCAAGGCAGAATATTCTTGAAGTATTTCCTACTTTAAATTCTTGAAATGCATGGTTGTAGAAATGTCTAGAAGTTTTTCTTTAAAGTAAATGAAAATATATCTCCTTTGAAGAAATTAAATTGTAAATTAAGTGAGGGCATTTTCATTAAAATTTGTCTGACTGAAAATAAGAAGAAGTTGGACCATCATGTTCAACAGTTCAAAAACTGCTTGAGGAAACATTAACTTTTAAATACACTAAAACTTTCATCAGAAATTATTCCATTATTCCATGCAGAAACACTGAGGAAAACATTTATATGAAAAAGTTATTGTCCAATTGCTGAAAATACAGACCAATTAGTGAGATTTAATTTAGGTATTTGTCACTGAGTATGCATCACGTATATGTTAGAGCTGATTTACCATTATTTCCTTGCCTTATTTGCAAAAAGAGACTCCTACTTATTGAAATATTACTGAAGAATCCAGCTTTCCCCACAAATTACACACTTTTTGCATAAATGTGCCTAATTACCTGAATTCAGTTTTGATTAGCAGTGTTAATTGATGCAGCTGTGGATGGGCTCTGTTTACCTAAATTACCATGTGCAAACAGCAATACGTCTGAAAGTGAATATGCTAAACTGAAAATACTAATTAGCTAAGACAGATTGTTATTCAAGTCACATCTCAGAGCTTTTTAATGAAAGCCTGAATGTGTCAGAGCTTTATGATATTCAGACAGAAATGTCTATATTACATATGAATTCTAAATTTAATTCAAGTGAACAGATGGGATGTCGACCGTGGTTCTTCTCCATCGCTTCCAGTATTAATGTGAATATTTCACTCTACTGGATACATTTCTGAGTGTGTGTATGTGAGAGAGAAAAAAGTGTGTGTGTGCATGTGTGTGTGTGTGTATGTGAGAGAGAGAGAGAGAAGGGAGGAATTCATTGTGTGCCTTGACAGTGTGTCAGCCAAGAACAGCTAGCTGGTCTATTTTTGACCGACATATTCGCAAATTGTAGGCACCTACTTTGCCAGAATGAAGATAAACAAACTATTTTGCAAATTTAATAAAGCTAAACTGTAAATGCAATAAAGTCAAGTAACGGAAAGGTTAAGTAGATCTCAGTAACAGATCTATTGCCACAACAGAGATTTCTCCTTTTGCAACAATAAGAAAAATATATCAGTTTTTTATGTAAGAGGACAA